TTGTTCTCTGCCAATTTCTAAATCACATGTTCCTATCTCCACCCTACCTGCTCGGTCTTGCCTTTGTCTTTATTATATGCATTCAAATGAACACCCTTGTTTTGTAACTACATATTTTACTCAAGCCAATTCCCTTTTTCCAAATGTGTCACCTTACCCTTTTTCTGACTTACATCAGTCTAGTGTCAGTGTGTCATTGTGCCTTAAATGTATTTCTACTTCCTTAATTAATCTGTTGATTTGGCTTTCAGTAATGTGAAGCTATGAAAATAGTCCAACTGAGTTTTTCAAAGTCTAAAGTGATGTCTTGTTTGTCAGCCATAAAATATAGGATATTCTGTTAAATGTGATATCAAACAGAGAAAAGCAGGACATCTCCAAGTAGGACTAAGAAAGGCATTTACTGCCTTATTTCTTGAATGATTACTGTAGTTGAAAATGTAATCGATTATCAATCTATCTATCTATAGGATTTAAGAGAGTCTAAAACATTATTTGATGTGTCCACCAAACAGCCAGAAACCAAGAGATATTTAATAACAATGATTAAAAAAACTGAAAAAGCAACTTATTTAAGAGGCTGGTTACAAATCAAGTTCTGGCTTGTTTAGCTTAATAAAGGACATGTTTATTGAAATTATTTTACATTTCTGAGATTAATAAACATTAACCAGTCAAATCTGGAATAAATGTGTCCATGCTGTACACTATAATATCTGTGAGGAATACATTCTCTCATATAAATAAGCTTGATACATATTAGTAAACGTTTATTGATCAATTATTTATCCTGAATTGTAATGCAATTATCATACAAGTGTCTCTGTCTGTTGGCACATCCTTATTTCCCTCCCTTTCTCATTCATTCTGACCTTGTTCTGTTTCTATTAGTGTGCCCTCCCTCCACACATTCACACACCAACACACACACCACCATCTCCATCACACCCTTGGACTTAACACTAGGCTGAATCCCAAACACAGAGGAGGTGCTAACATTAAAGCTGCCAAGATGTGTGTGTGTGTGTGTGTGTGTGTGTGTGTGTGTGTGTGTGTGTGTGTGTGTGTGTGTGTGTGTGTGTGTGTGTGTGTGTGTGTGTGTGTGTGTGTGTGTGTGTGTGTGTGTGTGTGTGTGTGTGTGTGTGTGTGTGTGTGTGTGTGTGTGTGTGTGTGTGTGTGTGTGTGTGTGTGTGTGTGTGTGTGTGTGTGTGTGTGTGTGTGTGTGTGTGTGTGTGTGTGTGTGTGTGTGTGTGTGTGGTGTGTGTGTGGTGTGTGTGTGTGTGTGTGTGTGTGTGTGTGTGTGTGTGTGTGTGTGTGTGTGTGTGTGTGTGTGTGTGTGTGTGTGTGTGTGTGTGTGTGTTGTGTGTGGGGGTGGTGGGTGGGTGGGTGTATGTGTGTGTGTGTGTGTGTTAGAGTGTGACTGATTGTGATGGATGAGGGTCTGTGTGGCTTCCAGCAGATGCAGGCTGTCTGTCTGACGGTGCATCTGTTTATCTCGCTCTGTGTTTGTTTGTGTGCATTCATGTATTTGTTTTGCTGCAAGTGTGAGCCATATTTCTCCTCTGAAAATGTGATTGTGTTCTTCATTTCCACTTTAGTTATCTCCCTAATCTTGCCACAGTCAAATCTCCATACAGGCTGGAAATACAAATCTTGAGTATTGAGACATTATCCCCATCATTATCTCTAAAGCTAAATTATAACATTATAAATAATCTCACAAATAACATTTTCTCGTTATGTTTGCACATATCTGATGGCAAAACGTCAGGGAATATTACTGGAAGCACTTCAATGCTTCAGTAGGTTTCTAGACTTCCAGAAAGGTACATATTTATTCTCTTGGATCTGCCACAGATTTACTGTGGGGCCCGGTGTGGTTTGGATCCAGGCTTTGGATCTGGATCAAGGCTGACTGATTGATTTAGCTCTCTGATGTAAATCTGTCTGTTTCTAGGAGGCTTTTATTATGTTTGCCATATTCCCTCTTATGCAGAATTGTTCCTTCTGTCACTCTGTTTGTCTTAGAGTCCTCCGATGAGTCACTCAATATTTCAACCAAAAGAGAGAGCAAACGTACTGTGATGGCTGATGGAAATAGCATTTAGATGGAGAGGAATGTTGCTCTAAAAGTTTTGATTGTTGGCTTTGTTTTTTCTTTCTTCTCAACAGTTTTTCGGGTTGATGCAATACTCTGTGGCCAAATGTATGTGGACACCAACACATTTCAACATTATGTTATTGTAGTAACGTCTTGTTCTAAAACCTTGATCATTATTCTGCTGTAATTCCGGCCTCCAAATATTTACAGTAGGAAGACTGTTCATGAGGTTTTCTTAAATGTAGCCAAACAAAATATATTAGGGTGTTATCCAAAGGATGTTGGATGGGTTTAAGGTCAGGATTTCTTATTGAAGCTATGGTATTGTCATGGTTGAAACAAGAACAAATCCAAACAAACTGTTGCAAAAGTCGTATGGTCACTATTGTCTGACATATACTTGTCTGCTGTAGCGTTGGAGAAATAATAAGTGGTGAGACTAGCTTAGCATACACACTAGAGACTTGGGAAAAACTAGCCTAGCTTTGTTTTAAAGTAAAAAACACCTGACCCTACCAGCACCTCTTAACAGCCTCACAACATTACAGGTCTGTTTCGTTGCAGTGAGGTTGCCAGGTTTGATGTCACTCTGTCTGTTCAGAGACTAAACCTTCGTATAGCAGCCTGTGCTATAACAGGCTCATAAATGATGACCGGATGGAAAAATTGTTGTTCATCGGGAAACAATTTAAATGATGTTTACCAACTAGATACACTATGTTAAATTGTCAAGTTAGTAGCTAGACAAAGCTAGGCTAGCTGTTTGCCACCACTTCCAGTCTCTATGCTAATTATCAGTCTTTTTCTCCTCTGCTGCCCTCTGCTATGATATGCTAATCACGTCTCTCTCATTGGGATTGTTATGAGAGTACTGGATCCCCTTTACACTTCTGTCTCCCTCTAATGATACAGTATCTGATGTCTGTATAATTCATTTAGTGAAACACACACACACACACCCACTTTACGACGCTGCACAACACGTCACAAACGTACATGTCATTGGCAGGTTTGCAGATGTGGATGCTCATGAGAACCTGTGATACTCTTTTTCATTCATGCTTCTCTCCTCCCAGTGCTCCTACTAACTGACCTACATACGGGGATCACTATCACACACACACACACTTTATCTGTTAATGTCTCTTCCCATCACAATTCATTCATCTCTCTTCCCTTTTACTCTCCCTCGTCGCTTCATCTCTTCTGTGATACTTTAGCCACCCTGACAGTGTTTTCTGCCCCACTGCATCTGGCCTGCAGTTGCCCTTGCAGTTTTGCAAATCATGAACCAGGATAGAGAAATGACAAGTGGATGCTTAAGAATCTGGATTTTTTGTTTGCGTTTCCATATTTTAACATACTTTTTTCAGAAGGACAATTCACCCAATCGATCCAAGCAAGACGATTCTGAAACTTATGACGGTTCCTTCCAAATAGTAATAACAACACAGTTAAAGCTACATTGGTTACTGACTACAAGGTCATGCTTTTCCTCCTCTACTACAGTGTAGCGGTCCTATTGTCACATTTGTTTAGAAACTACTACCTACTCTTGATCAAACACCATTCTTATGATATTGCTAGAACTGAAAACTTTTTCCAGATGAGCTATCATCTTTGAATGTCAACATAAGAAAAGATAACACCTTAAATACACCCAAATTACAATTATTTTACAAATCATTTTTCTTAGTTTAATATATCCATTAGGGATGGGAACGATTAATCGAATATTCAAAATTATTCAGGTATTCGGTATTTATTTTTTATTTTTTTATTTTTGAGAGGGGTGCCTAAGTTGATTACATATTATCAAATGGAATAATTCAATGTATACAACAGTGCCATAGCTAAATGTGTTAGGTCTAAAGGTGTGTTTTGCTCCGCTCACCGGTCCCTCACAGCGGGCAGAGCTGCAGGTGCTGATCTCTCTCTCTCTCGTGTCCGGTTATACTTCACTCGCGTTTATGTCCAAATCCATCAGAAAACCAAGTTATGTATGTATGTTATGTAAGCATGAAAGCTGTAGGCCTATAGCTGTCAACTGTTCAAACTGTGATCACCAGTTCAATACATTTGACAAATTCGACTTGGTTTCTAAACTTATTTGAACATGTATTTATTAAATATATATATATTTTTTTTTATTTATTTATTTTTTTTTGTAAATTTCTTTCCCACATTTTTTTTTTTTTTAGAAGATATGTACATTTTGGTTAATCGGTTAACCGTTTTTTCGGGGGTCGAATATTCGTATATACATTTGCTTTCAAATTCCCATCCCTAATATCCATCTCTTCTGGCTGAATTGCACATATCGTTGCTTTTGCGTTATAATCATTGTTTGTACAGTCATTTTACTTGCTAAACACCTACTGTATAAACAGCTTGTAATGAAGAAATGATGACATAACTTTAAATAAGATGTTATGCATAATCATGACATTCATACAAGAAACCTCAAAACAGCATGCAGGCTCTAAGGTAATACTTTGGAAACTTGTGTAAATGATTCATAGATCTGTCTAAATATGGAAGTACCTTTTTATCTACAGCACATAAATAATACTATTGACGTAACTTTAATGGTCAACATTTAGAAACCAGATGTGGTTTCTCGTCCTTTATTCATCATACAGCAAAAGGAAGTTTGCTGGAAGATGCGTCATATTTATATGTATTTATTATAAATGACATTCATGGTTGGACATTATTCAGTTCGAAGTGATCAGTACAAGAAAACATCAGGCAAAGGAGGAACATTTTTGTTATTGAAAAAGCAGAACAAGTGAAAAAAATGTGTTGTTAAGTATACAGTATCTCTTTGCTCTTTTCATACTTTATTCTGAGATGTTTTATAATAGCTGACTCACTCTCTTTGTCTTTCTCTTTGCAGCTTTCACCCACGGACAAGAGTCTGGAGTTTGACCGCGACTTCCGCATCCGCCACTACGCAGGAGATGTGGTGTAAGTTAGAAACTACTACCTACTCTTGTAATTCCGTAAAAGCTTTTAACGGTGATTCATGCTCTTTTCCTACATCCATACCCCTTTGAATTGTTCCACCTAACTGCCTACTGAAATCACAGTCATGTACTTTGGCAGCTTAGAGAGCAGATGGGAGTTTGGCTTCCTAATTAAACTTCATGGTTTTTTGGGGATGTGGGAGAACCACTCATTCACAAACATATTTGTTTTCAAAAGGATGGTTTTGAAAAAAACTCTTTACCCTCAGTACACCATGACATCATCGTTTGCTGTAGTTACAGTTGCATTATAGCACAAGTAAGTAGTAAAACACACTTTTGGTGGAACACGGTTTTTCCAACAGATGTTTTAAAAATGCTTACTTGAAGTCTGAAGTATATTGTCTGATATGAAACGATAAACTGAATACATTCTATCAAAGCATCAACATTTTAGAAGCAAACCATTTCTGCCATAGGTATAAACAACATCAAAACACCTACTTCCCACATGGTAAGAGTTTTACAAAAGCATGGGTCGGTGTGTGGATGATGTTTCTATAATTGATTGATGTTATATTCTTGTATTTTTGTATTTATGTATATATTTATTTTATTTTTGTTTGAAAGAAATGAAACTTTGTAACATGTTGAAATGCTTAATGTAGAGTCATCCTAGCATCCTAGCACACACATGTGACAAAAATAGGTTGGCATTGTATTCTGAACAGTAGCAATAAAACACAATTGAATTTCATTAAAATGACCACCATCAATGCCAACAATTGGCCCCCACTTAACATTCACAACTGGAGCACACATGCACACATTTTAACATCATCTTCATAGCAGGCTGTCTCCCAAAATGACAGCACCACTTCCCAATGCCCCAAAGTACTTGGGTACCATTCAAATGAATAAATAACACACGATAAGCCTCCAAAAAGTGCTCTCAGGGAAACGTGTTGAGCCCATTTGTGAGGGCTAGTGTCTGCTGCCCAGGGGAGGACTCAGCCAGAGGAGCCTGACTGGCAGTGTGATTGATCCCTGAGCTACTTATAGCAGGCAGAGGGCTGCTCACAACACACAGCATGGGCTGCTGCAGCTCTGCTTTTATAGCTTAACAGCACACATTAACGTTTACAGGAGGCTGTAAGGTCCAACTTATATTTAGATTAACGGAAACCACAATTTACACATCTAGTGGCCACTTTATTAGGTGTAGTTGTACACCTAGCTGTTTTGTTATGCTATTATATGATCATGTGTCAGACACTCAATGCATGTAGTAATCATACCTGGACAAGAAGTTTACTTGTTAATGCCAGACCTCAGAATCTACTGTAATACCACATTTTCCCTGGGTGTTACGGCATGCAGCTATACTGAACTTATTTTTTTGAATATTTTTTTCGACATGCAAAAGTTGAGGAAAGTACATGATACTGTATGTTTTTGTTCCACCTCAGTGGAAGTTCCAAGCGAGTTTAGACAGTATTAGGGGGTGAAGTTAAAACACTGCAGACCAATGATTGGTCAGAGAAATGCACCAATGCAACACAGGACAATACGTTCCTTTGTAACGCAGCGTGTTACCAGTTGTAGATGGTGTCACAGTATTTCATAAATATATAAATATATAAATAAATAAATACCTCTTCCTCAAAATAAGTCGTGCAAAGCAGAGCCTTACCATGAAGTGGAAACACGGCTTAAATCACTTTGACTTTGCTATGATCTTTGGTGCCACACAAAGGGGTTTGAGTGTCTCAGAAACTCATCTGAGATGTCCTCAGATGTTCACGTACAACGGTCTTCAGAGGAGAAATCAGGGCAGAATAGCCTGACCAGACCAGTTTAAGTTGACCGGAAGGCGATGGTAACTCAAAAAGCATGGCAGCAGTACAACATCATTGAACACACAACACATTAAACCTTGAAGTGATGGACTACAGCCGCTGAAAACCACCACCAGTTCCTCTCCTTTCAAATAAAAAAAGCAATGCTACAGTCTGAACTAGCTCGCACTGGCAACAATTGTTGCCTTGTTTGGTGAATTTCACATTTTCTTTATTGGTCTTATGGTGAAGAAGACATTTTCTTGGCACACCCTTAATACCAATCAAGCCTTATTTTAAAATGCACAGCCTCCTCTGAGTTTTGTTGCTTGCCATGTGCATCCCTTTATGCACACATACTGCCCATCTTTAATGGACATTTTACAACAGTCGTAATGCACCACGCAGTGAATAACGTCTCACAGGTACATCTTATCTCAATCTGATTCCACCAACATGGCACTGAGTTCAAGGTACTCCAATGGCCTCCATAGCCACTAGATCTCAATCTGATAAGGCAGCACTTTTAGTTGTGTTGCAGGAGATTCACAGCATGAATAAGCAGCCGTCAAATCTCCATCAAATGTGTAATGCTATCACCTCAGCACGGAGAAAATAAACATTTCCGGTTCTTCTGGTAGCAGGATTGGAAAAATGTACCTAAAAAGTGGCCAAGTGTAAATAAAAAAATAATCTATAGATAGAATAAGGTAAAAATAATCATCATAGTAATGCTGTTACTTGTCAGAACAATAAGCAAGACATGTGTTTTTGCGAACATTTATTCACCTGCCTCCCTCTCTCCACAGGTACTCAGTGGTGGGTTTCATTGATAAGAACAAAGACACTCTGTTCCAGGATTTCAAGAGGCTGCTGTACAACAGGTGACACACTCAAAAAAACACACACAGAGTAATACACACCTCTTCAATCACCTCTGCACACTTTATTCTCTGTATTCCTGGCAGCACTGTACATGACTATGCTCTGGAACGAACAGTGCAGCACAAGTACAACTAATCTCCTTTCAGCAGGCTTATATCCTGCTCCTCTCCCTGATGTTTTTCCTCCGCTGAAAATAAATGTGAGGTCTAGTAACTGTCTAATGTGCATTTTATGATACTCTTTACTCCTAAGGAGACAATGTGGATAGCAGCCAAAAATGTTTTAACGTGGGTGCTAATAGCCTAATGGGAACACCTACAGTATTTGGGTTGGTGCTGTATTAAGAGTACATTTTTAAAACCAAGGGAATATATTATATTAATGAACTATTGCAGTGCTAGTTTTACGTTAACGATACACTCACATTTTGTCTCCATTTTTGGCGATGTATCTCCTTCTTGCATGTTGTTGTTGTCTGACATAAACTCGTCACTCTTCAAGAGCAAACTTTTTGTCCGACTTTAGGATACACATTTTAATCTTAATAGGTTTTAACCACATTGATAACAATCAGAGAAACAATCTTAGAAACACTGATTATTTTTTTATTTTGTTACTCAATGCTCATTAAAGTGTTTTAATATCTACTTATACAACTCTTCCTTTCATGTTCACAGTTCTAACCCAGTACTGAAGGGCATGTGGCCTGAAGGCAAACTGAGAATCAATGAGGTCACCAAACGGCCACTAACTGCTGCAACGCTCTTCAAAAACTCCATGATCATGTTGGTGGAGAACCTGGCCTGCAAGGTGAGCAGTCTGGATGATAAACCCTTTGTTTTAAACACACACGAACCCTTACATTTTAAAATAACATGCCTGAGAGTTTCAGCACAAAGTCTTGAATGGTGGATCAGAAATAAAACGTGTTCAGTTAGTTATTAACACCGTTTCCCACTCTAGGAACCCTACTATGTGCGCTGCATCAAGCCCAACGAGGTGAAGTCGCCTCTCCTGTTCGAGCAGGAGCGCTGCCGCCACCAGGTGGAGTACCTCGGGCTGCTGGAGAACGTCAGAGTGCGGCGTGCCGGCTTCGCCTACAGACAGACCTACCCTCGCTTCCTACAGAGGTACCTGCCACATATTAATCACTCTTAGCACCTTGGACATGTGATATACCTTGTTTCTGTGATATATAACGTGCTTTTTCTTTTACTTATAACTTGACAAGCTGCAACTGCAAATCATTTATTTGATATTTTTTTTATTGTTTTTTATTTAATCGTTTATTTGGCAGGGACAATGCACAATAATGAACACTTAAAACATTCAAATGTATCAAGCGTAACAGTGCCAGATTTAGCTTTGAGCTAATTTCCATCTAAAAAGCAGATTCTTTAAAAAGAAATTTGTCAATAAAACGTTGAGAAACTACCATTTCAAATCACCAGAGCCCATACTGACATCTTCAAATGCCTCCATTTCTGCATTCAACCTGACAGTACAAAACCCAAATTGATTAACATTACTATCATAAATGACAGAGAAAAGACAAATTCTCACATTTTGGAGTTCATTTCCTTGAAAGATTACCTTGTTTTGTAAAACTTTTACCCAGGACTTGCCTTGCAGTCCTGCAGTAGATTAATGAGATCCTCAGTCGGGCCTTTGAGGAAAAACTACAAATTATTCACATATTTCATAATGTTAGGGTTGTGATTTGAAGTTTTAATGGGTGCTCTGGGACTAACTTTGAAATGTGGGTAGAAGACGTGACTGAGTAACACTTCTTCCCTCACCTCACACACTCTGATCAGACATGCTGAATCCCTGAAGCTGTCCACTCTGCCGCTGTGAAGGATTCCATCTGACAGTTCCTAACTGTGGGGTGTAAAATGTGTTGTGTAACTCCAATCAGCTCACATCCAATCTAATCTCACAGCTAATCAGTTAAATCTCCAGCAGCCATCATAAAAAAACCTTTTTAGTAGTTTGTCAGCTTGCTACAAGCATAATATGACTGTCCTCTGACCTTGAATTAAAAGCTGTCTGCACTCTAATTACTAGGAAAAGACTTTGTTGTGAAACATTTTCAATGTGCTGCAAAACGTACCCTGATTTAATGTGTTGTCGCAAACCCCTAGTAGTCAATGACCTGCGTCAACATCTCATGTTTTATTCAGAAAGACGCTTGACATTAAAAGTCTGTTTGCATAGCAATTAGCACTAATTTGGTTGCAAGCCGAGTGCTGAGAATGGAGTTCTAAGGCTAATGCCAATATTGATATTTAGGAGTTACAAAAATCAGGGCCAATATTTTAAATGTTGGCCCTGAAACACGTAATATAAACAGACATTTCTGATAAGGGTTCCTTCCTTTTGAAAGATGAACTGGACATGACATTAAAACATACCAGAAAAACAACAGCAAACATAACATTAAACAGAATAATTAATAACCAATTAGATGAGTTGATATTAACAGATGAGACTTGAATTTATAAAAGGCAAGTTAAATCATTTCATAATATAACACATTTTTATAAATAAAGGCAATTCAAGGTGCTTTGGATAATGCACTAGAACAAACAGGAAATACATTATTTAACAGGCATACACCATATGAGTAAATACAAGCTAGCTCAACGGGTATCTGTACTGAATTACTTTGAAATGTACTTATTTAATATACTTTTCATGTTCAAGATGTTTTTCATCCAACTAATCATTTATTGATCGTTCATTCAAAGGGTCCTTTTTATGCTCTTTTTCGGGTTCATATTTGTATTTTGTGCCTCGAAATGTTATTCTAATAGAATATTCAATGGAGGGTTGCTCTTGTGTTAGAGTACTGTAACAGTGTGGTTATTATACTTTTAATTAAAGTATCTGATACACTTCATCCCAAACTGATATTCTGGGAGCTTTCCCAGCCCCGGGGTGCAAAACTCCATGCTGCATGTGTTGTCTCGTTAAGACTCTATTCTTCACATTTTAAAAAGAAATCCCCAGGTGGAACTCTTGATATCTTCAATTGTGAACCTGTAGTTTTGCACACAATATGTTTCATAAGACATTCTGTCTCGATAGAGGCTAATATAAAAGGGAAGCAGAAGATAAAGAGTGAGGACAGATGTCAAACAGATCAGGGTTAGGCTTTAGAGACTAGAAATGAACACACATGCATCCTTGGAGTCAAAATGTCACCTCATGTCTCCCTGCAGAGGATGAGTGGCAGTGACTCTGATGTCAATGCACATTATATTAGACCTGGAAAGCTCCACTCACTACATTTTACAAAACTCATCACTCTCTCCATATTTTCCTATGCCCTCGTAGTAAGGGTGGTTGAGGATGCAGGATTAGGCAATGAGTCTTTTGCATAAAATGCTAACAAGCTAATAATTTCGTAAATAAAACGTTTTCCTCTTGAGATTTTTACTGTCAAAACAACTCACACAAATTACAGAAACCTTGCTTTTGTTTAACGCATTCTAATAAAGAAGGGAATTTGATTGCAACTTTGTGCTGTTTTGAAAAATGCATTCTATAATTCATCAGTGTATGACTGAATTTAGACCAAATGCTATTACTTTTAAGGCTTCCACAGGACCTTACAATCCAAACTCTGATCGTTTAGAGAAGGCATATGAAGTCTCATATTTCCATCCAATTATAGCAGTGTAATTTGACCTCTTACCCCATGTAGGTACACTATACAGTAATTACTCCCCTTGTTCATGTCTTGGAGCAGCTGTGGCGTCCAGCCATGGCATCTCCAGTCCACAGGAACAGTTTCACGCTCACATAGCAATTAAGAAGATCTGTACAGCTTCAGCTTTCTTTCTTAAGATATAATATGATGTGAGGGGAAATAAAACACAGAGGACAAACTACAAATATTCAATTACAAAGAATCTGCGCAGTGTCTAGATTTGAAATGGTCCTGTATCAGTATCATTTCTTCCTCGCTGACAGTGTTTGTATGTTTAAATGTTTTATTAACAGAGTAAAAAGCAATACAAGTTTATTAGTGCAACTATTGCTCTGTGAGGTAAATGATAACATTAGCACAAATACAATGTTGACATGCTGATGTTTAGCAGGTTGAATGTTAGCATGCTAACATCTTCTAATTAGCACTAAGCACAAAGTAGCTAAATGCTAATGCTGATGTTAATATCATCAGTTTTGCAGGTCATATACCAAAGTGTTGGACACATTTGATCTGTGGATGGTGCTGGATGATAATTGAAGGGATGAACACGTTTCTGACCATTTATCATAAGGGGAACATGAATGTGATTACCAAATGTTATTGTCATCTAACTAATATTTGTTGAGATATTTTATTAAAAAAAAGAGTTAACTTCAGGGTAACATCAAGAAAGATCAGGATCCCCAAGGTCTGGAGGTTGGGGAACATTTATATATTTGTACTGTTTGCAGAGTGGTAACAAGATAATTGAGTGTAGAAGGATCTACGCAATCTAAATAATCATTTCTTTTTTCTTTTGTTGAGCGATACACTTCAGCATGTTCTGACACGACCTCTGTCCCTCTTCCAGATACAAGATGATCTCAGAGTTTACGTGGCCAAACCATGACTTGCCCTCCGACAAAGAGGCCGTGAAGAAGCTCATGCAGGGGTGTGGATTCGACCACGACGCGGCCTACGGCAAAACCAAGGTCTTCATCCGCACTCCACGTACGCTCTTCAGCCTGGAGGAGCAGCGGGTGGAAATGGTCCAGAGGATCGTCCTCTTCCTCCAGAAGGTGAGACCACCTCACATTCGCTTATGAACCCAGATACTGACAGCTTGAAACTGCAAATTACTGATGCAGTATCGCTCTGAGCTCATGGGAAATGCAGAATTTAGGAAATGTGTTTCGACTTAAATATCAAAAGCATTAAGAAGCTTCTGATTCATTACATTTCTCCCTTTTTTAAAAACATGGTTATCCTCTCCCTGATTTTCCCTTAAATGTAAACCAGGGAACCAAATTAACAACATCCTTTTTTATAGCTCTCATTGAAATTCACTAGCCCTGGCTATGCATATGAATAACCTTGGAGACTAGAACAACTCTACTCAACTCTTTACACAAGTTTTACAGGCGCTGAGGTATTTTTGGAGCTGATATAATCTTGTATTATTAACGGTGGAATGTTATATCTCTCATGGCAAATGTCTCTGCCTCTCCTTCTTTCTGAGTTTCTCCCACGCAGCTCCTGTAAAGTTGTTATGTAGGATAAGTTGAATTTAAATTTAAAAAATGCTCTTTGTAAGTGATTTAAAAAGCTGCAGAGTAACATCATCATCCCAAATCAGTTGATGTCCTTGATTTGACGCCCATTAGGTTAAGCACTCAGACTTCACCTGTTGTGAAAGGATTGTAAATATGATGGTACGAGATAACCTGAGCATATTTTCATTTAAACTAGTAACTGTCAGTGTGGTTAAAGTACAGCATGACTGTGTTTCTTGTATTAATTAGAACAACTGACTAATTCTGATTAAATGTATATATTTGTTTACATCACATCACTTACAGTAAATATGGCTACTGACTTCTATCCAAAGTGACTTAAGATAAGCACATTTAACCTTTTTTAGGGACAACTTAACTATCAAAACAGTGTAGTGTTTACCATTTAATCTTCTCTTCTCATGCTCCAAGAGGCTTGCATTTATGAATATCGAATCAGATTTCTTGTCCAGCCATTTGTAAACTGCGTTTTGGTTTAGAAGCACCAACATCCTGTTCAGCAGAACAGCAAGAATTTGAAATAATGTGTTTAGGCCACGGAATAAACAACGAAGATCTTAAATTATTCATATTTCAACATTATATAAATATAATATGTATTTGTTAACAGTCACGTTTGTGCCTGCTTGCATACTGCCCCCTCCCTTTTGTCTTTGCTCTCCAAAAATAGCTTTTAAAAAAGTGTAATCATCAAGTGTCTCAGTAAGGTGTTCCATCATAAGCATCCAGGACAATTTAGGTTCTCAACTTTTGTGATTTGGAATCATGTTTTTTCTTGATTTTGGTGGGATTTCTTTTATGATCTTTTGATGATTTAAAGATATGGAAATGTTCACGATTCATACAAAGAATGTTTTTTGAGATGATGGCACTTTTTCCTCTGAGTTAATATTGTGTTGGGTGTGGCGGCGGCCACATGCTGTGCATTTTCATACGAGTCCCCCGCTGGATGCTTGTTCTGCTATGAATATCTATCACTCTTTGTGTGTCTCTGTCTTCAGTATTTGGTAACCCCATCATGCATCAGTGGTACGACGACACCTTCAGGCGACAATGTCAGTGTCTCGGTGTGATTATGGTGCATGCTCTGAGATGTGTTGTACTGGCGTGCAGAGCAGACTTGTGTTACTTTGAATAGATGGAGAGAGTGGTTTGTAAACATAGTGTACGCTGTGCCTGCCTGTCACATTTGAAATGCAAGACGCCTGGAAGCTTTAAAATGGCTGACTGACATGCAGTTCTTTCAAAAACATCAACGCTTGTGCATACATCATCTGCTGCGGCTCCTGAGGACTATATTCTACCCCCAGGACCCATATGATTGACACTTTTATAAACCATTATTATTTTAGAATCATGTTTGCACATTCCTCCACACTAAGTCTACCTTTCTCAGGGAGTATCTCCAAGCTCTCGGACATGAAAGGGTTTTCCAGCCAAATTAACTCCTGCAGCAGATTGATTGCTCGACCTTTGTATTGATCTGTGTGACCCGTTGCGGGCTCTTCACACGGACATGTTCCCTCCACCTCTCCCTCAGGAGAATCCTATCTTGCATCTACCAGAATGAGCAGGCATCAATAACCAAGGGAAAGCCCAGAGGAATTTGACGCTTTTCCACCAAAACAAACATCACAGCAGCAGCAGAGGTCTCAGGAGGCAGCGTGTTTTATTTTTCGGTCAATGTTAAGGCCAAACACAAAGTATAGCTTCTCACACATGCTATATATGCACTCACTGACCTGCATTCTTGCAAATGTCCAACAGGGGGCTTCTCCCCTGATGTAAACATTCAAATGTTTAACCCTTGTGTTGTGTTCGAAAGCTGTTACCGTTCATGGTGTTCGCGTGTCAATTTTGACCCATGATTTATCTCAGTCCAAAACACTCAACAATAATGACTATCATCCAATATTGTTTTAGCTACATCATAACTAACTTATTATGCATTCATAACCGTACAATCCTGTTGTAATTTTAATTTATGGCCCCAAAAAACATTACACCACATATTTAAGTAAAACATGTGATTCAATTCACTCATTATATTTCCTATAGTGAAGACAGTGGATCATTACGTTATCTGACTATAATAGACTAATATTAGAATACAATCTCCCCAAAAAAGTTTTAAATGATTGTTACAGTGGATGGGGTGGGGGTGGGGTGTCTAAAGTCAAAGTCACCCCACTTTGGGCCAAATTTGATCCAGAGTCACCCCCAACAATGCTGCAGGGTCTTCACAGACCCGAACACCAAATTATACACTTTTTTTTAGAGACCTTCAGACTTGGCTAAAATGGTCAAAATCAGTTGTTCAGTGTTTATATAGCTGATGTGGAGGATATCATGAAGCCTTGTTCCGTTAAAAAAAAACTAGAGCGTGTTATTATATAATTTGAACTTGAAACGGATCACGGGAGACCCGAACACAACATAAGGGTTAAGTCTACCAACAATTGACCCTACTTCTCAGTGGAATAATTTCCACAGTTTACATTCTTCTGAGGATTTTAGGGTCTCAATCACTAGTTCCAAGTATTCTTCCATGTTTGTAAATTATGACCCAGCTATCTTGTGATTGACAAGTTGCTTCCATGGTTTTGTCAAGTGTGGGTGCCTTGTTTTTGTTTTCCAACTGTTACCCTTTTCAAAGGCAATTGTGGTTTCCTAAAAATGTCTTGTTTATGGCTCAGTTATACTTTACTCCACGCTATAGTCGCTTCTGGTTCCAAAAAGACGTCCATAACGCCAAACTTGAGGCTTCAAAACTGTGTCAGTGACTCTGTCTATTTACTAAATACTGCCTTTAGGTCCCTGACCCACAACATTAAATAGTGGTGTTACGGTAACACTGACTCCTATATCTATTAAACTGTTACTCAAACAAACATCCCAGTGCGAGTCTGAGCTGCTACGCCAAGCAATCCCCTTATCAGCACCTGGCACACCACACAGCATTATGCCAGTTTGGGACCTGCAGTGCCAGGACTGTCAGCCTGTGACTGAAGCTCAGACACACTTCTTGGCCCTCCGTCTGCCTCATGGATTAATAATAATACCACTTAGTTTGCCCCATCAAACAACAAAAAAAACAGATTGAGAATACACTCCCTTCCATAAAGACACATGGAGTTGCCCTTGTAGTGCCACTGTCCACTGCTTGTCTAAAAATAAAACACTGTCCTATTTAACCCGTTTATATTACCATAACCTCTCCTCCTTTGAGAAGGGGTGGAGTAGCTGGGGGCATGGAGAGGATGAGTGTCCTTCACAGCTCCATTTAATCCTGCCATTCTCTCCTTCCTTCAATCACTTCTTCATGTTTATTCCTGATGCGCTATAGCCACGTTCAAATCTCTTAAAGCTCTCTAAATCATTGCCCCTTAAAGAACATTTCAACGGGAAGAATGGCTGAAAAAAGGCACACAATCCAACATAAATACAGATGTTATAAAATATACATAAGCCACCCCCACCTTCGTTCTGTGTTAAAATGAATATTTCATAAATCCAAGCTCAGCCATCCACATCACGAGAAGTGTCGGCGCTTGTCAAAGTAGGTACGATGACGAGAAGATAACCCCCCCCCCCATCCCCTCTCTCGCGTATTCTCAGCCGCCACCTTAATTGCTTTCCAAAGCTTTACATAGTCTCCCTGTAGCGGTGCGTTTAATAGACATGGCGAGTGTCCTTTCACAGCGTGGCCACGTGGGGTTTTGTCTTAAAGGATAAAGAGCATTATTGTTTTTTGTATTGTGTCTTGAGGCAATACAATGTGCAGTAAATCTTGCTTTTGTAGAGTCTGACTGACATGCAAAGGGTGTAGTCTGTGGGTATCTGTGCAGCCTTTTTGTGAGTAGCAGGATACTTAATGCGAGGCCAGCAGTGCTCTTCTCTGCTTAACAGTCCAGGACTGATCTGTCTCCGGCTACACCTCAGCAGAAACATGATCTGTAATCCTCTGATCCCCCTCTGAACCTGCAGAGTTTAAGCTTTCATCTCCTCAAAAAAACTTCAGTAAGAACACGGCCGCAGATCAGAGAGCGGTTTAACTTCTTTGTAACAATTATGCCGCTGGATTTGAACAGAGGAAATGTGCTTCCTCTGTTCTGAGAGAAACTTGTGATGTGATGTTGAAACTAATATATATATATCTTTTTTAAATAATTAAATGAATAAATGTAAAAAATATATTTAAAAGAAAACATAATTATTGGGATAGCTCAGTGGTTAGAGCGGTAACTGCTTCCTAGTAGGCCGGTTCGAATCCATACCCGGCCGAACGATCAGCCAATGTCCTCTCCTCTGTCTCCACTTTTCAACTCTAAGAATCTCTTATAAAGGCCTTCTCTGGCCCAAAAAGACCTTAAACAAATGAACTAAAACATAATTCTAGTCATTTAAAGGGTAGGAAATGTATGATTCTTTTAACGAACGATAAATGTGCTTGTTGGTGATAAAACCTTACACCTGAATGAATAATAAACAACATGGAGAATGAA